CTGGTGCCGCGGTGTAGGATCTACGTTCTCTAGATCCGCAGTTCCCTAACTTCACATGACCCACAAGCCGGATCGTCGTTTGTTGACGGATTACGCCTTTTCTGGTCGTCCCCGGCCAATCGTGGTCCTGGCAGAGCCGTTCGTCACCCAGTGGAACTCGACCTCGCGACCTTGCGATTGTGACCCGGGAGCGCTAACCACTGCGCTATCGACCCACGGGTCTTCGCTCCCATTTAAATTAGAAAGTCTTTTTTTTATAAACCAAATTTTGATTTTTAATTTTGATTGTCTTAAGTATGAAAAGAATAAAAAAGCAATTCATTGTATTTTAGAAAATTTTTAATGAATACGTCAATTTTTCATGGGTGATATAACGAATTTTATTTGAACTTCACAAATAATGATCTCTACAATCGGACAATTACTCGGATACTATGATTGTGAACTGCTTTCTCATACAGAACAGCAGATTACCACAGAATTTAAGACAACTTGTTAACTCTGCAAATGGTACATCGATCATTAAAATACTATAATGAGAATATTAAAATACATCAAAGTTTTTTTTTTCTTTTAAAGATATTTACCGATAGTATATTCAAAAGAAATAAAAATATTTTGATATCCAACAAAGAAATCGAATCAAAATTCAAAAAGGATGGGAATTATAAAACATTTCGAAAAAAAAAAAAAATTTGCGATAGGAATATTTATGAAAAAAATTTTAGAACCGTTAAGGTGGCCTAGAATAAAACAAACATTTAAACGATTGCTGCTTCTGATAAGAAATTATTAGACTGAAAGTCCCAAATGGACAAAAAGTGAAAGAAAAGAATATAAGAAAGAAAGAAATAGAATAAAATAAAACACGTGATAATATCGATAGAATTTGCAAATTATCAAAATCAAGGAAATTACAAACAATTATAACGTAATTATTATATGTAAAAACATTAGTATCCGGTACATTAAAAAAGCTAAGGCTCTTAATTCTTTTAAAAGTTTAAAAAATTTCCTAAAATCAGAAACAACTCAATTAAACATATTCTTCTGGCTCTTTCGGCCACCATCCTATAACTTTAAAATCTTCAATCATCTCCACGAGTTTTTCGTCTGTAACTTCTGGAACTTCATATTGGAAACCAGTCTCTACGGTAATCTTTGTTCCATCGACGGACAGAGGGTTGTTACAAAGGAGTTCCTTGTCAACATAGGGTGTCAACGGCGTGTTCTTAATTTTTTTACTGTCCCTTATGAATGTCGTCCAAGGACCCATGTGCTTGTCGTTACTATCATCTACTGCATTATCAAGATTCAACTGATACGAAAACAAGAAAATAGAAGCACAATTAGAGACGTCCATCATTGCAAACGAAAGTAACACAATAAATAACTGCAAACCTGTGCTAGATTGGATGTAATGGCACCATGAAATCCAGTCTTTATACCAAAGATGTTGCCGAGATGCTTGTTGATTCGTTCTTGGTCTAAAAACAATAAATAAATTTATCTATCAGTTATTATTGTATATATGACAAGCAAATACTTTAAACAAAATTGTGACAAAGTAACTTACCTGTATTACCCGAATCAGCTAAATTATAAATAAAAGGACCTTTACCGGCCTTATCATTGTTTTGATACCAGGTTGCGACATGCCATAAAGCACGTACGACATCAAATACATGAACTGTGTTAATTTTAAGGTCCTTAGACCAAAGGACCTTCATCTCTTCATCTAATAATTTATAAATTCGGCCACAGACAATACGAGGCGCTATTATAAATTAATAATTTCGTCAGTCTCTAAATTTTTGAATTCAAACTCCAATAATGATGCAATTCAGAATCGTAAACTTACTTAAACCCATAGTTGCACCCGGACCATAAACTATAGTTGGTCGTAAGATCACGAGGTTTAAACTATAAGTTGAAAAAATATTAGTTCGTGCATATTAATTAAAATGAACTAAGATTAATAAAAAAAAAAAGCCACTTGCCCTTCAATGGCCTTTATCTTTTCTTCAGCTTTATATTTGTACTTTGCGCACATCGTCCATGGTTTAGCCTTATCATCTTCTTTACTGGGATTCTTATCATAAAGATCAATTTTAGCCAATGCCTTAACTCCTAAATATTCAAATAAATTACTTACTTTATCTGATTGGTATATTTCCGCAGTCGAAACTTCCACATATACCTTGACATTTCTTCGAGCAGCTTCCTCTGCATTTCGAACGGATAGAGTGTAGACACGCTCTTCGTAAACCTGCATAGCAAGAAATTTGATGTTACAAATATAGATAACACGCGCAATTTTTCTTGATAATTGAATACAATACAAGCAATGAACGTTTCAATTTATTCATCTATAAATAGGCAATGATTTATGATTCATTTTGAATTACTTGTGACACAGACCTTTTCGATTTGTGAATACTTTGTTTCGGCTGCTAAATTGAAGACATAATCATATGAACTTCCGTCCTCTCGTGTAAAGGATTTTTCAATTGAAACTATTCGATTGTAATGCGATGAAAATATATTTGGATTAACAATATATATAACAGGAAATGGTACCTAATTAAGCTTTATAACGCTAGATCAAAATTTTTAAGGAATAAACGAAAAAGACACGACATACCACGATCGACAAGGTCCTTTTGCCAAACCTCAACCTTGGAAAAGGCTTCCCTTTGCTTTGGATTGAGGGCAGCTGTTATAAGTAATACTTTATCCACTACTCTTATTTCGGAGGCAAAGTCATTCTCTACAAGATAAGTAATGAAATTGCGTCCTATGAAACCTAGCCCTCCAAGAACAAGAACTGTTGGCTTGGTCATAAGTTGTATAACCTCTATTAACTAGTACTTTTAACCGTAAGTAAAAGATAATGAAACCCTCCTTTCTCAGGGACTTCAAGATGCGAAAGAATGAATGTATAAGTGGGAATTGCCAACAACAAAGGAGTTCCTAATAAAACGGTTGAAAAGGATAGAAGGTTGTTTGCGAGGTAAGAGAGAAGAAAAATGAGAAAAAAAACACAAGTTATCGTTATATTTCGTTGTTTGTACAACACGAACTGCAGAATGCTGAACTTAACCCTATCTACATGACATACCGTACGTACCAAGTTTTAAACTTTAATGTGCATTTTGCAAGATTTGGATAATCATGTTTCTAGATATACTTATGTACTTGACGATCATAAAAGGGCTTATATGCATATAGTCACCTCCTTCACGTCAACTAATTAAACTTAGCTACGTATCAATTGAAGAATTCGATTTCACTGTTTCACCGAGTTTAAGTCGGTAATTTTTTTTGATTGGTTCAAATTCACCATCTTAATGATAAGAATCCCAGTAAAGAAGATGATAAGGCTAAAC